CTAGGCTGACCCTTCACTACCCAAGCTTCAAAACACCACCCATTCTCAATTTCTACAAAAAATCAAGCAAACCAAACACATTCCACCTTATTTCTTACTCTTTTCACCAAGAAAATCAAGCTTTTCAAGCCCTAACACCCCCAAACCCGAAAACTATGCCTCCAAGAGTAAAGCTTCCTGCTAGATGCAACATACCCACTCAAGAGCCTAACATGGCATAGGAAGCCATTGAGGAGAGAGAGGGGAGGCCCATAGTCCAAAGGTATGATCGAATCCGCTTCCCCAACACCCTCAAGGCAGGCAGGTATGAGAATTTCTATTGAAACCAAGTTGTGGTTTGTAAGCAGACTGTGATATTAACTGATTTTGCGGAGTTGGAAAATTTTGAGAACTTTGAGGCGAGGGGATGGATGTTGTACTTGAGAAACAAAGGAGAGGCCGTGATTGACTTGGTGCAGGAGTTCTACTCCAACGCTGAAATAGTCAAAGGGACGATAAAGACTTATGTGAGGGGAAATCATATTGACGTGGATGAGGATTACATCTGAGAGATAAGGCAAGAGGTGCCTCAGGTACCAAGGCCAACCTACCCCCCGAGGAAGAAGGTGGACATGGATGTGGTGGGTATGGAGTTGATGGGGTTGGCCACCTTTTCATGGACAGGGAAAAGATTTTTTCGGCAAGGGGAGTTAACTGACAAGTATAAAATATTGAATTTGATTGCGGTCTTGAACTTTGCCCCAATCAGGCACAAGAATGAGATCATCCTCGATATGGCTCGATTGCTATACGCAATTGGAATGGGCTATAGCATAGACCTCCCCATGTTGATTTTGATAGAGATAATGAAGGGATGCGATGTGAAGAGGAACTCACTCCCTTTCGGCACCTTGGTGACTGAGATGTGCACGGACCATGGGATTAGGGTGAGGCCAGAGATGATGATAAAAAAATCAATAGGGCGATTGAACAAGTCTTCCTTCCGAAGGAGCTAAGGTCATAGTGGCAGCCTGATAGCTAAATAAGATGTGCATCCTACCTGAGGCACCGATGAGGTGTAGGATGTGTTAGATGAGAAGGAGGAGAGAAAGCTAGAGGCTGAGAGAGCCCATGAGCAGACCCAAGAGAAGGCAGGGCCTAGTACCATCACTAGCACCCGGCGATCACTTCGAGAGATCATGCTTAGCATCAAAGCTAAGCAGGATGAGATTCTTCACCTTCTGAGGGGTGGAGCTAGTGGAGATGAGGGAGAGTGCGAGAGAGATTTATGTTCTTGAGTGTGGTTGTGTTTTTGTTACTTCTATTGTGGATGAGTTGAATCCTTTGTTTTTGTGTTAAACTATCATACTTTGTGAAATGAATTGTTCAATTTTATCACTTTTATCTTTGTAAATTCATGTGTAGAATTAGCATTATATCGTTATTTATTAATGGATGATGGAAAAAATGTGGATTCTGAGATTGTTTGTTAAAATGACTAATCACATGATCGGTTTGACACCTAATTTAGCAATCTAGACTTACCACCAAATGTCTTGGAAAAATGGTGTTTTTTCTATACTCAATTGTCAAATGTACATTGGTATTTGTTATTCTTAAGGTATAAGATGATCAGACTCGAAAATGGAATCAATATATAACTGACATTCCATGAAAAAAAGCCCGACATAACTAGTGGAGATAACAAAGAATACCATGGTAAGTTTCAAGCCTTGCGATGCTTTTGAGAGGATATCAACATGTACTCAAGTAAGGTTTCTCACTGTCTATCCTTGAATAATCTCATTAAACTTGCTTTGATTGACACAACTGAAGTGATCTATTAACATGTCCTACAAGGAATCTATTCATACGACACATACATATGCCATTCTTGAGAAAGGATCTTAGGCCATTTTTGATTTGGTTTCGAGCTTTAACCATTTCTTTTACAAAATTATATCCCTAGTTAGCCATGTTTGAGCCTTCAATGAATGATATCTTTTTCAACATATGATAACCGAGCCATAAAAATATACTTGACATACCTTTGCTATCTAATTTTCTTACACCTTCTTATATATAAGTATGATACCAAAAAAGAAAGGGAAAAGACAAGAGTGGATACTGTTCAATGAAAGAAAAGTCGGTGGAAACAATTGAAAAAGAAAAGAAACAGAAAGACAGGAAATTACCAAGAAAGTGAAAAATGAGAAAAATAAAATAAAGAAATACCATTTCTAGGTAAAATGTCGAAAAGCTAAAAAGAGGTGTGTGCTACACTACATAATGAAATGATAGCTTTTGAATACCATTGACGTCGTTTCGTTAGCCACTGACCTCTAACCACATTACAACCTATTAAATGCCCTAATTCATCTCAAGTTTGATGTATGTGTAGATTGTAACCAAAAGTTGGGGAATGTCAAATAGTATTTCTTTATTTACATCAATATTCTTCCATGAGATTATGACAAACATGATTAGTCTGTTTCCTTAAACATCACTCTTATACTAATTGTGCATGTGATTTTTTGATTGGCCCACTTCTGATCACATGCCCTTTAAGTGCCAAGTCACTATAATCAGAGCGAATATTTTGCTAAGAGTATTCTAAGAGAGATTTAAAATCAAAGCAATCCATGGAAAGTGATAAAGTTGAATGTTTGTTATATACAGTTCTTGTCGCTAGAATGATTATACTGACTACATCAAAAATTTCAAATATAAATGAGACAGATGCTAATTTTTGTATAGAATAAAAACCTATGAAAGAGACATATGTGGGATATGAATTGAGATTGAAGGTCGGGTGTCCCAACGACCATGATGCTAACTCGCTTTAATCAGAAATCTCGCATACACATCTGTTCGACTGAAGTTTGGAGGTAACTTCACTGAAAACCCTCATGAGACAACACTCATCCGCTAGGGTAAACCTGGTGGTTTAACATCTTGTTGCATATGTTAAATGCAACTAGATGACCAACGAAAATGGCCCTTTAAATAAATTCACATTCAATTGTTGTTGTATTGCTAGATACTAGCAATATTTAGGTTGAGGGTGTGATTAGTAGTTAAAATTAGCATATCACTATGCCTTTTTTAAGACTAATTATACTTTGATAGAGTTTAAATGATGACATTTCAGGATATAAATTGTACAAATGTCCAAAAGCAATGAATATCAAATTTTCATGCAACACCAGCAGGCCCTGGGACAAAATTGGAGAAGGTTGAAACAAAGCAAGAACGTTCGAACGCCAACTCCCGTTCGAATGTTCCCTTGAATTATTTGAAGACCATACTACTGAAATGCTGAGACATGGCGTGTTGCAGCTAAGAAGGAAAACACTAAAGTACTTGGGTACCACGTTTGAACGTGGTCCCGAACTATTGAGGACTAGGCTAATGAGTGCAAGGGCAGTGGTTTAAGGTATATGGAAGTAACTCTCATAGAGGAACATAGACTACTTGAGTAAGAGGTTCAAACTACATCTGGCGTTTGAACGCCCATCAAGCAAAGACAAGAGACACGTTTGAACACCAGACAACATGCGAATGTTGTCCCCAGACAGGCTGCAGAGTGGTTGATTTTCTCTCCAGATATTGGGACTTTCACTTGGACTTTAAAGGCATTGTACTATTCCTCCACACTCCTTTACCCCTCCTCTTTGCCTATAAATACTCCCATTGTGGGAGCTTCAAAAAAGGGGAGCTTAGAGTAGACCAACATTTTTTAGCTAGTTGTAGAATTAGTCTTGGACTTAGGCTTGCATTTTACTTGTATAGAGGGAGATAGATCATCTTTTGGTTGTGGTGGATACCCTCCAAAAATAACTAGCTTCTTTTACTTTCAATGTTAATTTCTTTCACTTCCATTGCTTGAGCTTCTTTCTTCCCTTAGAGTAGTGAACTCTTTTACTTAATGCTTTATATTTCACTTGCTTACTGAATGATTGAGTGTATCTAGCAAAGGTAAGGTACTTTGTATAACAATGAGTACTTTCTATTACACAAATAACTCTTGTATAGAAAAACTCATTGGTTCAAAGCAAGTACCCCGACTTAATTGTCATGACTACCCTTCAATTTTCACCATTATTGTGCTTCATTTAAAGAATGGAATATTAATGTCATGGTTGGATATCTTGTAGAAACACTTGCTTGTTTGTAGACAGGTTGAGTGTCGGCAGAGACAATTCTTGTAAACTTCTAAAAAGGCATTGAAACCATGTTTTTAATTCCCACAATCCACTTTTATCTTCCGATTAACTTGTTGTTGACACGAGGGTTAATTGAGTTACCAAGCACAAGTATAATAAACCGGATGATTAACTACATATCCAAATCCTTGAACTAAAGAGTGACTTTTTACAGTTGAATTTATCTTATATTTTGTCTAGAAAATCTTCTTTGAAAGAATTATATATTTGGCCCAAGAAAATCCCTAAACATCATTACTATAAATTTCAAAGGTTATAGTCACATGGTCTTTGTCACTGCTTACTTCGAAACACCAACAATAGTTCTCTGTGGATTCGACTTCAGACTTAAACAGATTATTACTACAACTTGACCGTCTGCACTTGAATGTACACATTTTGGATTAAGTCAGTAGGCACCACTATAGGACAAAGGAAGAGGACACCATAAAATTAGCCAAGAAAAGGAAGGAATTACAAACAACCCTAGATGACCACATGTATAAATAGAATACGGATGCACAATATAAAGGGGTACCAGAAAAATTGTATTTGAAATTTACTGCATGCAAATGCTCTAAGCCAAAAAAAAAAAAAAAAAAACTCATTGTAATCTTCTTTTTCAAGTAGTACAAACCATAATGCGTAGAGTCTCCATTGCAATGGATGTAACTTTGGTCTTTCGGTTAAGGTGAACCACTTATATCTTATTTTTGGTCCAACATCGTCTTTTACTTCCTTATTAACCTAAATATTCACACCAACCCCCACCAGGGCTTACATCGTCACTGATCTACACTCGGGCATAGTAATTTCGAATACCATCAATACCAAATAAAGCATAAGCGATAATTTGTTAGTTTTTGAAATTACAAAGTATGCGATTATTTTTCACTTAACAGTGTTAACAGAGATGGTACAATTACCCACACGAAAAACAGGAAAACAAAGATTATCCTTCCTTGGGTAACCTCTCTCCCTCTGGTGTTTATTTATTTCTTCCATAATCATACAAAGTACAAATACAGAGCCAGTTGGACCTCTATCTCACAAAATTCTTTCACTGAACAAAGAAAAAAACCAGCTCACAACGATTGGCAATGTTAGAACACCGTCGATGCAAGCACGAGTGGACAATGATTTTTCATGTCAAATGGAAAGTCCATTTCTCTTCCTCATTAGTTCCTTCACATTCTTGATGAACTGTTTAAAGTTTTTCTCGGATGATCCATCGGTGGCCAATGCATTCTCTAGTGTCTTTTTCACTCTGTTCATCTCTTTCCTTAGCTCGTCTGACTTAGTTCCACGCATCAGAAGATTAATTTTCTCTCCAACTTCCCCCCTTGTAATTGATTTCTCATCCCGTAAATTGATTCCAATCTTCCAATCATTGACCACTAATTTTCTATTCGTAATTTGATCGTAAGCAAAAGGAAAACATATTAATGGGACACCAAACCAAATACTTTCAAATAACGAATTCCACCCACAATGAGTTAAAAACCCTCCAACTGCGGAATGTGAGAGCACCTCAATCTGGTTGCACCATGGCACTATCATACCTCGATCTTTGATTGAATCTTCAAATCCGACAGGCAAGATATTAGTACCATCCGAACCTATTGTGCCAGGTCGAAGCACCCAAATAAAATTAGCTTCACTAAGCAAAAGGCCATGGGCTATCTCCGCCATATCATGTTCACTAATACGTACCAGGCTACCAAATGCAACATATAAAACTGACCCATGAGGCTTGGTATTAAGCCACTCAGTGCAGTCTGACGCGGCCCTCAGGCTGGTACCCACAGTGCTTTTGGTGAAGCGAGGAGGGAAAATGGGCCCAATTGCATAGATGGGCGACTTCTGATGTAGAGCTGAGATTGTTTCAGATTCAAGTTCTTCCACAGTGTTACATATAACAATATCTGCTTTCTTGACCTCCTCAAATGCTTTGAAAGTTACTCGGTGTACCAGCGTTGTTGTGTCAGTTTCCTGAAGAGTTGATGTCAAGTCCTTGGGTTCTATTGCTTTGACCCCGGGTATGTAAGCAATTGTGTCCATGCGATTATCTATTATAATCATGCAAAAATAATCATGTTATCACATATATAATGTACACTTTTACATTTTGTATGAGCATGTCTCCATATATTCATATGTGTCCGTGTATGAATTTAGAATGTCAAAATATAACACAATATTAAATTTGTATAAAACTAATTAAAAGAAATACAGAATACGATTCGTTTATATACCAAGGATCCATAATATGAATTTAATATGATGTCATGATTCGTTAGACACAAATTAATAAATAAAACGAAGGTGTAGAATATCGTTTTATATAAACTCATTAAAATCTAATAAGAATTCATCTCATCCGACCCAACTGGGAGAACTAATATGAACATGCATGTATCTATGTAAGCCATAAACAAATGTGCACAAAGAGAGAGAGATAGTACGAACCATTGGAGGCAAAATGCCCATTTTTTATTAGAAGGTCCAAATGATAGTATAAAGTGAAAATCAAGGCAGGTTGCGTCCAGAATGAAACAATGACAAAGTTATACTTCTTGGCAATTGTTGCTGGCCAGGCATAAAGAGTGTCAGTGACAAGGAAAAAGGCCGACAATGGATGTGACTTAACCATGTTATTCACGAACTCATCTATGTGGGTCGGGAAAACTTGCATGATGGAGTCCCAATACTGCTTCATATTTGAAGATCGGTCGAACTCCAATGGAAGGCCGTCGGTAATCGTCGTGTAACGGATGTCAAGACCAGATTTACGTGCTTCGGAAAAAACTTGGGGTTCAATTGTTTTGTGTGGCTGGGATTTGGTTATCTGGTGGTGGATAAACTCGGTATGGACGAAAGTGATGGTGAAGCCCTTCGAAGCAAGCTTTATTGCTAGGTGCACGAAAGGGGTTATATGACCTTGGAAAGGGAATGAAATCATGATAGCATGAAGTTTTTGGTTACTATCACCCATTTTCTTCTGGGTTTGTGTGTGTGTGTGGGGGAGAGAGAGAGAGAGAGAGAGGAGAGAGAGAGGCAGGCTTTAATCTACTGGCAATACTGCACAGGATAAGGTAGTTGCTTAAGTTTGGACTGTGGTGGTGAAGGTTGTATCATGGTGAAACATAGAGGCATATTTGATTTGTCCGTCAAAAAATAATATCTGAAAAAAATTTTTAAAAAAAATTTTTTAAAAAAATTATATTAGATGAATTTAAAAATTAGATTTGATAATTTTAACCGTTGAATAAGTAATGAGTCCTAATAAATGGTAGAACCTACAGTGAAATTAATAGTTGAGATTATCAAATCTAATTTTTAAGTCCATATAAAATTGCTCTTTAAANTCTGGTTGCACCATGGCACTATCATACCTCGATCTTTGATTGAATCTTCAAATCCGACAGGCAAGATATTAGTACCATCCGAACCTATTGTGCCAGGTCGAAGCACCCAAATAAAATTAGCTTCACTAAGCAAAAGGCCATGGGCTATCTCCGCCATATCATGTTCACTAATACTTACCAGGCTACCAAATGCAACATATAAAACTGACCCATGAGGCCTGGTATTAAGCCACTCAGTGCAGTCTGACGCGGCCCTCAGGCTGGTACCCACAGTGCTTTTGGTGAAGCGAGGAGGGAAAATGGGCCCAATTGCATAGATGGGCGACTTCTGATGTAGAGCTGAGATTGTTTCAGATTCAAGTTCTTCCACAGTGTTACATATAACAATATCTGCTTTCTTGACCTCCTCAAATGCTTTGAAAGTTACTCGGTGTACCAGCGTTGTTGTGTCAGTTTCCTGAAGAGTTGATGTCAAGTCCTTGGGTTCTATTGCTTTGACCCCGGGTATGTAAGCAATTGTGTCCATGCGATTATCTATTATAATCATGCAAAAATAATCATGTTATCACATATATAATGTACACTTTTACATTTTGTATGAGCATGTCTCCATATATTCATATGTGTCCGTGTATGAATTTAGAATGTCAAAATATAACACAATATTAAATTTGTACCAAGGATTCGTTTATATACCAAGGATCCATAATATGAATTTAATATGATGTCATGATTCGTTAGACACAAATTAATAAATAAAACGAAGGTGTAGAATATCGTTTTATATAAACTCATTAAAATCTAATAAGAATTCATCTCATCCGACCCAACTGGGAGAACTAATATGAACATGCATGTATCTATGTAAGCCATAAACAAATGTGCACAAAGAGAGAGAGATAGTACGAACCATTGGAGGCAAAATGCCCATTTTTTATTAGAAGGTCCAAATGATAGTATAAAGTGAAAATCAAGGCAGGTTGCGTCCAGAATGAAACAATGACAAAGTTATACTTCTTGGCAATTGTTGCTGGCCAGGCATAAAGAGTGTCAGTGACAAGGAAAAAGGCCGACAATGGATGTGACTTAACCATGTTATTCACGAACTCATCTATGTGGGTCGGGAAAACTTGCATGATGGAGTCCCAATACTGCTTCATATTTGAAGATCGGTCGAACTCCAATGGAAGGCCGTCGGTAATCGTCGTGTAACGGATGTCAAGACCAGATTTACGTGCTTCGGAAAAAACTTGGGGTTCAATTGTTTTGTGTGGCTGGGATTTGGTTATCTGGTGGTGGATAAACTCGGTATGGACGAAAGTGATGGTGAAGCCCTTCGAAGCAAGCTTTATTGCTAGGTGCACGAAAGGGGTTATATGACCTTGGAAAGGGAATGAAATCATGATAGCATGAAGTTTTTGGTTACTATCACCCATTTTCTTCTGGGTTTGTGTGAGTGTGTGGGAGAGAGAGAGAGAGAGAGAGAGAGAGAGAGAGGAGAGAGAGAGGCAGGCTTTAATCTACTGGCAATACTGCACAGGATAAGGTAGTTGCTTAAGTTTGGACTGTGGTGGTGAAGGTTGTATCATGGTGAAACATAGAGGCATATTTGATTTGTCCGTCAAAAAATAATATCTTAAAATAATTTTTAAAAAAAATTTTAAAAAAAAATTATATTAAATGAATTTAAAAATTAGACTTGATAATTTCAACCATTGAATAAGTAGTGAGTCCCAATAAATGGTAGAACCTACAGTGAAATCAATAGTTGAGATTATCAAATCTAATTTTTAAGTTCATATAACATTGCTCTTTCAAAAAGTGTAATTTGACTTTTTAAAAAAGTGTAATTTATTTTTTTTTTAAGAAGAATTTTAAAAAAGTGTAATTTCACTTTTTCTGAGACAATGAAACTTATTTGATTAAATAATTTTATAGAACAAAAAATAGTAAAATATATTTAGACAACCTAAATATATGTTTAGACAATAGTTTAAAAATTAATAAAAAAATATAAAAAATTATTTTTAGATTGACAGTTTAAAAAAAAATTCAATAAAACCAAACTCTAAAATAAACCAATTTATATATAAATTTTTTATAAATAAAATCAATAAATTGATATATCAATATCAATTTATAACAGAGTCATTTATAAAATCAATAAATCAAACTTCAATAAATTTTTTTCAAAAAAAATAATAAATAACACCATGAATCAATTTATATATAACATAAATAAACCAAATACCAATAAATCTATGTGGATAGAAAAATTGAAAATGGACAAAAAAGTTGAAAAAATAGAACAAATTCCAGAACCCACAATCAACACATATTTGAAAAAAAAAATAACAAAGTAATAAAGAGTTAGATGTATAACAAAAACTAGTAAAAAAGAAGAAGATAGATATGATATTCAACTTAAATCTGAAGAAGATCAACCAAGATCTAAAAAATGTCAACACAGATTTGAACTCAGATTTGTAGAAAATCAACCCAAATTTGAAGAAAACCTAACCAAATCTGAACCCAATTGTGTCAACATTGGAATCGACGTTGGAGCCGACACCGGAGCAAACTCAGGTTTGAACCCAGATGTGTGTGTGTGTGTTTCCTTTTGTCTGGTTTTCGCTGAAGCGTTGAGAGAGAAAAACAAAAAAAAAAAAGAGAAAGCCAAAAAGAAACAGAGAAAGACAATAATTTTTTCTTTTTTTAGAGTTGAAAATGTTTTGTTGCTAAGAAAGTTTGAATAAGAGACCTCGTTAATGAAAAATTGGGTTGTTCTCGTGTTTCCCTTCTTTTGTCTCTAAAACACATAAAACAAGTCTATCTTGTTTTTCATTTTTTTGTTTTTTACATCAATCTTTTCCCAAAAATTAGAGAACCAAAACCCAAACAAAACAAATTTTTCTTATTTTTTAGAACTTTAAGATCAAAAAACTGTTTTCAAAATTCAAACCAAACATTCTTACATTTTAAAATAGGAAGTAGAAAAGACAATGATACATTAACCAACTAACAACATATAAAAAAAAAGGTCAAATAATAAGTATCATTTTTGGGTCGAAGTTTAAAATGAAATATTGCACGAGTTTTTAAATTTCAATTCGTCGAAATTAAAATGAGTTTTAAAATTTTGCGGCAAATTAATTAAAGGACTACTTAATTAGCACTATCACAATTTTTAGTCAGCATCAACACATCAAAGTCATGTAGTTTCCATCTTATTATTAAATCCTATTTTTTTTTGTGTATCACTCTATTTGATAATGCCAAAAGAAAAAATGCAAAGGGAGAGGATAAGAGAGATGAGTAAAGATGTGCATACCAATTTTTTTACCAAATGTCGTCTATCAAATGAATCAGGGTAGTATTAATAAGTTCCACAAAAATAAATATAAATAAATCTTAAGCTTCGTATTAATTTGTTAAGTAAAATTTTAAAAATAATTTTGAAGAGTTGCCGTCCACTTTAGACGGAGACAAAGTTGACTGATGGTGCAATTGCGTGTTTGATCAGATCTTTTCCTCGTAGGGGGCGTTCGGGCGGTTGGATTGAATTTTGAAGTCCAATCTCATTCAAATGACTGGCAGACTAATGGGAAAAAAAAAATGTTGTTTTCTAACCCACAGGTGTGGGCCCCATGCATTTGAATGATTGCTAAAGTTACATAAATTTAACTCTAATTTATCATAAAATCTTTTAATTTAAGTCAATTCAAGTTTATGTTAAGGAGAAACACGTTATTTAATAATACAATCTTGTTAGTAGAATTTCAGCTCATTTTCTAAAAGACATACAGTTTTAGAATTTCAAACACCCCGTAAGATCTTTCAAAAGACATACAGTTTGTCATCAATAAGAATGTGACATTTTAATATTAATTGTTAATGGCAACCTTCTCCTTTTTGTCCCCTTTAGTCAAAAATGGTCATCTCCTGGATGATTACAGAAAATAACATTATTTTTATGTGCATTCACCCATATTTTTGTGCAAAACACAAAATTTATAATATTTTTTTATCGTCACCGTCGCCCCTACTCTGACCCCTCTGTCACATGTACCAACTTAGGCCTAACATTATTAAAATATTATTTACTAAGGTACTAAATTGATATTTTTAAAAAATTATAAATGTAAATTAGTTAATAAATAATATGAGAAATTTAAATGTGAAGTAATTATAATCAAGTTGGAAAGTGGTTACATAAGTCACATGTTGAAATTCAATTGGGGTAGACCAATTAAATATTTTTTTCAAAATTATGAAAAATAAGACCAATTTTCCAAGCACTCTATCCCCTAAATTGATTCTTTTAAAATATAATATAGTATAGATAGATGAAGGTATTGAAAACCCCTTACAACAGGACATCTTAAATAATGCATTCAAGGTAAAAGTAAGAAAAATTGCACTATAACGAATTTAGTATCATACTAAAACAAATTAAACAAAAAATTGAGATTTAGTCGAGTCAAACAAAGAAAAGTAATAATTCAATAAGATCCAAATCCTATAGCATTGACAATGATGCCAATCAATTTGATTGAATCGGAACTTGACAATTTTAAATCATAATTTAACCAGATTAAATTTTAAGTTTTTATACAATATTGTTCCCCCTATCTCAAAGTAGTGGTGCACTACCAGGCCCTGTGATGGAGACAACCCACATATCCAAGTATTCAATCTTTCTCATAGTTTCTTTGATATAAGCTGCTTCAAAACTACCTCTAATTCCTATTTTGACAAGAAAAGGAGTCTTTGCCACATGGTTCTGTGTCAATGATAGCTATAATCTTATTTTGATCTAGTTTTTTTTGATATAAATTATCGATTTAACAAAAAGTGGATTAAATTAAAAAATTAGGTCAATCAATTATATATAAACAACATTAGTGGATTGTAGCTCTCCTGCATTTTAGAGCATGTGTTTTCTAATGATACGAGATTAGTCACATGCCAATCTACGACTAACAACACAAGCATAATCTATGACTATACTACAGTAGATTGATGCTGATGGGACGTTTTCGAAGATTGATGAGGAGACAACATGTGTCCTCAGCATAGTAACCTCATAGTTTCCATGGAGTGACACGTGTCCTCGACTCGAGTGCCCTCAGAGCGTCCCCTTCTTGACACGTGCCCTTGGCATTTATGTCCCCAGAACATTCTGTGCTTGACACGTGTCCTTGAGACTTATGTCCCTGGAGCATTCCCTGTTTGACATGTGTCCTCGGCACTAATGTCCCCAAAGCGTCATCTGCTTGACCCGTGTCTTTGGCACTTAGGTCCCTAGAGCATTTTCTTCTTGACACGTGTCTTCGACATAAAGCCGTTTGCACTGGCAGAACATTAACAGTTGTTTCGATGATTATTTCCTGCCAAATGATGATGTTAAATTCCCAAAGAAAAAGGGGGAAATCAGTTGATGAAAGCATACCCACGATCAAGATAAAGTATAACATCATTATTTGGGAGTGAGGTTGGCTATCAATCATTAAACACCTTTCCCAAGACAGTAAAATGGTTGGAAAGATAGTTTAGCAACCAATGAGGAAGGAGTATGGAGTACAAGACATGCAATTCTTGACCCTTTAGGGGATGATGGACGAAAGCACCCTTGTGTATGTGCAACCACAACCGGAGCATATTAAATGACCCCACAAAAGGGTGGGACATATTTATTGCTCAGCCAAGTCAGAAAAGCGAACATTAAATGCTCGGGGATCTAAGTATTAAATGCAGAAGTCGTTGCCACGTGAAGGGGAAGACACTCTGCCTAAGATTTGTGCACCACATGTTGTCTTCCAAGTGAGCCAATCAGGGGTCCTTCTCGCCAAGGAACCCAGTCATCCGCCATGATTAGCCCCTAAGAGGTATAAGTAGCTCCTAAGAGGTATAAGTAGCATTCTCAAGCTCAAGTCCATGGTATGCAACCCCTTACCCAAGTAATAGAATAGTGTTTTTCCAACTCTCTATAAAATACTGACTTGATCGTCGGAGGGGTCACACAAGAAGACACTCTGATGTCCTTCTAACCCCTCTTTTTGAGTGATAGGATCTTGTTCGAGAAATCAGGAGTGAATAGATTATGTGTAGAGAGTTCCATCACCGTTCATTGCATTCCACTCGATGAAGGACATTCAACTTCCCAAGCAAGTTCGAGCTCACCAGGGGAGAGATATGTCATTTTATTCATTATGCTAGAATCATCCCGCACAATTTGGCGTCGTTTGTGGGAAAACGACCAAGTTTTCTAGTGAATGACCATGGTAAACACGCGCTTGAAAGGAAAGGGCCCTTAACAAATGAATATAGACATACCAGCTCCTTCCACATATAGAACGGAGGATCAAGTCAAAAGTTTCAACAAGGAACTTTCAATCCACTCTAGGTAAAGAACCCACCAAACTAAACTGAGTCT